TTCCATGTAACTTATTTTTAGTTGGAGGCGTCTGTGAGCCAATTATGGTGGCACAGAGACAGCCGTGTATAGTTCTTGGGTCCCCTCTGCTCCTTACTGGACCGACTTCAGCTGGATTTTCTGTCGTCCTGGGCAGGTATCGGACCTCAATAGAACACCTCTGGTCCCTCTATGCCAAGAAGAACATTTGGAGCAGCCCCACTAATTAGGGAAGCTCTCCGTTGCTGTCAGAGGAGAGTGGTCTTCAGTGGACAAAGCTGAAAAACCACTCTAATTAGACACCATCACAACCGAAAACCGAACAAGTGGGTTTTTTGATCAGAAAGATCTACTTTGTATCACACCCTAATCTTGCAACATTTGGTGGAAATATATTCCAGTAAAGCTAAAGGGTTTGTATATGCAGAGTTAGGGGGGAAGCAGATGCTTTGTGCTGTCTTGGAGGCAAGGAAGGGGAGGGGCAGCCTCACACTGGGCACCCCAACCCCTTCCCGAACATGTCAACAGAGCACCCGTCATACTTCTGCTGCAGCGTCCTCACATGCTGTGGCGGAAGAGATTTTGAAGGTACACCCAATGCCTTTTGCAGTGCACCTTTGGCACCTTGTGGAAGGAGCTCTATTTTAGCGCTCCTTCCAGGGCCCAAGAAACTGCAGATTGGGGCCGAGGAGTGCGGCTACCTCAGCCCCAATCCGCAGCTTTTTGGGGCGGCCCATGGCCTCCCGTCTGCTTAGGCCCTTTGTTGATTTTAAATCTACATTTGAATCAATCTCTAGAGATAGATTGTGGAACAAGTTAGAGGCCTCATCAGTAGATCCTTACTTATTATTGCTTATTTACAAGCTACATGAAAATACAGCCCTGAAAATAAGGTATAACTTGGAAGATCTGCTATCTGATAAAGTCTTTACACACAATGGAGTCAAGCAAGGATGTATATTAGTCCCATTGTTGTTCAGCCTTTACACTAATTCAATGGTTTCACCCTCCCAAGATAATAATAATAATAATAATAATAATAATAATAATAATAATAATAATTTATATCCCGCCCTTTGGGAACCCAATCAGTTCTCAGGTAGACATCTTTCAGTACTGCTATATGCTGATGATGCAGTGATATTATTGCAGACATCCTTTGATTTACAGAGAGCATTGCATGCCCTAATACAGTAAAGCCAGAAAGAAGGTCTTCAAATAAATTATGAGAAAACCAAAGTTTTGGTGTTTGCAAAAAGACCAAAACTGTATAAATGGCTGTTAAATGGTCATAGGATTAAACACGTAAGGACCCTTAAGTATTTTGGAGTCGTATTCAAGTCTAACAGAAATTGTAAGGCACATGCAGAATATGTTGCAGGAGTGGCACAAAGATCTGTAATAAAAAAATTATTTTATACTAAAGGAGGGCAATATGTTCCAGCTGCCTTAAGGTTGTTTCAGGCCAAACTCCTCAATCAACTACCCTATGGTGCTCAATTAGGCCCTTACTCTTCTTTTACTACCTTGGAAGTAGTTCAATCAAAATTCCTGAGGGCTATCTTGCTAGTACCATGTTGGGTCTGTAACACTGCTGGAAGTTGGTTTCCTGAAAGTTGAAGCTAGGGCTTGGTTAGCTATTTTTGGTTTTTGGCTGAAATTAAGTTTTCAGCCAAGTGGTTTAATCCCTTTGGTATTTCAAGATAATTTCCAATCAGTCTGGAAAAAAGCCATACTTCCTAAATTCAGATTTTATGTTTTTTCTGAAGAGTATTTTTTTATGTAGAAGTAGCTAGTCAAACCCTCAGACAACAGATTATGGATGTGGAGAGGCAGCATGATCTAGGGGTAACCTCAAACAATGTATTAATTGACACAGCACCAATACCCTTTAAATCAGCTAACTATATTTGCTTTCAGTATCAGAACAACATACTCTTGCGTGAGTAAATGTTTTGCCATCAGCAATACAAGAAGGAAAACTTTAAAAGATTCTGTACTATCAACATAAATGTCCCCACAACTCTGGTGAAACTGAAACAATAACTCATGGTCTTCTGCACTGTCCCTTTTATCTTGGAATTCATGAAACTCTTATTGACATATAAATGCATTCCCTGGTTGTTCAAAGGCTTTTTATACTCTTTTGTTGATGTTGTGGCAGTATACAGAGATGTTGACCAAGATAGCAAAATTTTGTGTTGCTGCAGTTAAGATCTGTGAAAATAAGGTGTTAGAAAATGATTAGGTTTTTACTATTTTTGTATGCATATATATTTTATATTCTTTATACTTATATTTATATTTGTATTCATCTTTTATTGCTGTCTATAGGTGTATGTATCTTACTTAAGTTCATAATATGTATATATTTTATGTATTCATATGAATTTAGAATATGTTCATTTAATATGGTCATTGACTACAATAAAATGATTGATTGATTGATTGATTGATTGATTGATTATATACAAGAGGATAGTAAAATGCTGTACCTTCTATAAAATGGCAAAATCAAGGTTTGCTTTCTGGGTTGGTTTCTTTTTCTTTTTGGTAATATTTTCAAAGTGTTAATAATTGAACCCGTGGATATGGAAGAACTACCCTATTTCCTTGTATTCACTGTTTCATTTCTTAATGAGCTTCTCTTTAGCCTGTTTTATTCTGGTCATCCCACTGAATCATAGACATATCATAAACTAGATGGAACTTGGGAATTAAGAAAATTCTAATGTGGGAGAAAGTGAAATAGACATATACATATATCACTGTCTACACTATTATATATATATATATTTTTACTGTGGACCAATATAGTTCAAAGT